AATTTGTAAATCCTTAGCGAGATTTCCCACAACCGTTCCTTTGTCAACCTCCTCGGACACAGAGAACGAGAGCTGCGCTGTAGACGAATCACACAAACAAAGCACAGCTATTATTTGGATCAAAATCGAGACTGTTAATCCTCCGCGTCCCATCGCTGCCACAGAATGCAAGAAATAAGCATTTTCGAACATGTCCACACTTTAAGTGAATAACAGACGAAGCCCTCTCTGTCTTGTGAACGTTACTGTATTTTCTGACAAAGCACTGGTGGACTACTGCTGCTTCGCACGGAGAGGAGGAGTCCCGGGAAACAAGGAGCCACACGAATAGTGTGGTCTCCAGCGACACCAACTGTTATTTTGGTGTTAAAGTATAAAGGCATGGCTATTCTAAACTGAAATATAGATTTTGTCCAGAAGGTTAAAACAGCTGAAAGTTCGGTGGAAAATTATACAAAACCTCGGTCACTATAAAACGCATTTTATGGTGTTTAAAGAAAAACTGTAAAAGTTGTGTGTTACCAGTGGAAAGCATATTAAAGAAAAGGATATATAGTCTGTCAATGATATTTAAAAAATAATAAAACGTGGCAGGTTTTATTCGTGCATGCAAAAACACCATCCAGACTTCAGCACCAAGGACAGCGTTCTCGCTGGCCAGCAGTAACAACGTCTAATCTCATTTGACCAGTTTCTCTGCTCAAAATGCTTTTATTTGGCACCTTTTCCGAAGCTTATCCTGCAAACAATATCCAATATCCAGCGTTACACCAGTTGCTAGCTTTTCGTTCTCTTTGCTTTCGTAACCATGCATCCAATACCACGGAAAGTCAGCAAATATTGAAAACGTCCAAAATCTGATGACTTATTGCGTCTTTCAGAAATGTAATGACAGAATCAGTAGAAAGACACCAAATATGCTCTTGCTTTACAAACAACTCACCTTGTCTTTGTTAGGTAAAGTCTGAGTTCTGGTAAACGTGTCTCCTCCGTTTATACTGATCAGCTCCGCATCTACAGGCGGAAACGGTGCGGGGAAAACCACTACGTCACTCTTCAGTGTGTCGGAGCTGAAACACACGTCATACTGCTGAGTAGCTTTAGAGTAAGACCAGCTCCCGTCAGGGTGGGTGGTGATCATCGGGGCGCTGTACCTGCTGAAACTGCCGTCTGTCCTGTGGCATTTCACAGCTATTAAACTGATGAGGCTCAGCAGAAAGATCACTGACACCGACACAATGGCGATCAGCAGATACAGGTTCAAATCAGAGAAGCTCTCCTCCTTTATGGGCACATGTCTGAACTGAGTCTGGATGTCAGCTGTGCTTTCAACCACCACCACATCAATAGACACAGTAGCTGACAGGGAGGGCTCTCCGTTATCAGAAACCAACACCACCAAGGGGTGAGTTTTCAAGTCATTGTCACTCATTCTCCTCTTAGTCCTGATCTCCCCGGTGCTGGTTCCGATCCGGAAGAGGTTGTTTCCTTTGGGCTCAGACAGGTGATAAGAAAGCAGCGCGTTGTATCCAGAGTCTGCGTCTACAGCCCTGATCTTTGCCACAAAGTATCCCGCTTCAGCAGAATAGGGGATGCTCTCACTGTTAACGGAGCCGTGCTCAGAATAGGGCGCGAGGATCGCGGGACTGTTGTCATTCTCATCCAGGATACAAACGTTCACAGTCACGTTGCTGCTGAGCGGAGGAACACCAGAGTCTGTGGCCTGAACTTTAAACTGAAACGTCTTTAACTCCTCGTAGTTAAAAGACTGCAGGCTGACTATATCTCCAGTCTCTGAGTTGATGTTTAAAACTGAAGATATTGGAATACCTTTTGAATCACCATCTATTGAGTATGTCAACCTAGCGTTTTCATTAATATCAGGATCGACTGCGGTTATCGAATAGATTCGAGCTCCAATGGGACTGTTTTCTTTTACATAAACGTTAATCACGGGTTCAAGGAAACCAGGCGCGTTATCATTGACATCAGAAACGTGAACAGTTATAACGCAGGTGCTGGACAGAGGCGGAGTCCCTTCATCAGTAGCCGTAATAGTGACATTGTACAAAGAGCATCCCTCTCTGTCAAGAGGTGCATCAACAACTAAAGAGTAATAATTCTTGTAATTGGAATTTAGCTTAAAGGGTGCCGAACCAATAAGTTTACAGCCGGTCTGGCCGTTTTTTCCTCCATCTTTATCAGTCACTGTCACTAAAGCAACGGCGCTTCCTATGTCAGCGTCTTCTTTAACCGGGTTCATGAGTGACGTCACCACAATTTCTGGGGCATTGTCGTTCACATCAACTACCTCCACCAGCAGCTTTCCATTAGCACTCCGAGGTAACCCTCCCTGGTCTGTTGCTTGAACATGAATCTCATAAGCTGGCTGTGCTTCGTAATCCAAAGTGCCCTTTACCGTGATCACCCCGGTTTCTGCATTAATTAAAAACACATCTGCAGGATTGAAGTTTCCCCGTTTGACAAAAGAGTAAGTGAGCCTTCCGTTGTCCCCTTCGTCTAAATCTGTGGCACTCAGTTGAATTACTAATGACCCAGGTGGCGCATTTTCATTTACCCGTGCCTTGTAAAGTGTTTTACTAAATGACGGCGCGTTGTCATTGGCATCCAGAACCTTTACATTTATGTGTAAGCCTCCGCTTTTAGGAGGCTTTCCTCCATCTACAGCGGTCAGCGTCAGTTTAATAACAGCTTGATTTTCACGATCCAAAGCTTTCAGCAGCACCAATTCAGCAGACACACTATGTTCTTCGCCGCTCTGCACATCTAGAGAGAAGTACTCATTTGGACTCAGCCTGTAAGTCTTTACTGAATTGCTTCCAGTATCTGCATCAATAGCCAGGGGAAGCAAGAAGTGCTCGCCCGTAGGTGACATTTCAGATATGTTAAGTGAATATGACCTCTCGACGAATGTAGGCGTGTTATCATTAATATCAACAATTACCACCTCAATGCGGTGGAGTACCATAGGATCACTCAGTATGGCCTCTAGGTTTAGTGTGCATTTTATCGTGTTTGGACACAGCTCCTCGCGGTCTATTCGCTCATTAACGTACAGATCCCCCGTTTTAAAATTTGCCTGGAAGTATTTCTTACTGTAACCAGAGACGATATTTAGATTCCTCGTTTGCAGGTCTCGGATGTTGACATTTAAATTCTTTGCGAGATTCCCTACCACAGTCCCTTTGTCCGCCTCCTCGGAAACAGAGTAGGATATTTGAGCAGCAGACCAGCCAGATAACAACAGGACGAAGAGCCAACAGAGGATTTCGTTATTCCTTTCACGACCCATCGCTCCTTTCAAGGAAACCGACGAGATACAAAATACATTAATCCATAAAATGTCACTTCACCGGACAACATTTTTAATTCCATCCACTCCGATCCTCTCCTTTTCATCGCCACTCGTGTTCCTCTCACAAAGCACTCGCAGTCGGTTGACGCGTCACACGGAAAGGAGGAGACTGAAAATACCGAGCTCAAAAAAACATGTGGTCATCAGCGACCTCATGTGTTACAACTTAGATATTAAAAACGTTTAACAAATGGAGTTGCAACCACTATGTCTCATATTACCCTAGGGCTACGTATAACTGTATACCTTCAAGTTTTAAACACTACTAAAAGTTACCTTTAACCATTAACTTAAATAGTCACATATTACTGCAGAAAAATGACAGAGGTATCTAGAAACAATCTGAAATTAAAGATATGAGTTCAAATGCATGGACTGTCCATATAGAAACAGTACTGTCACGGTGTTCTGTTCTTCAACCATTCAGCAGATAATAAACAAACTGATTTTCATCAGTCACTTTAAAAACAAAGAACCATCAAGAATTTACGAATTGACAGCCTAAGTAATTGACAGCAAAGGGTAGGAGCATGATTCAACTTTGTCACGCCAGAGTTGAAGGATTTTGAGCCCCACCTAACACCGGTATGTTTTCAGCACCATGGAAAACTCCCTACACACGGGATTGCAGGATATGTCCTCTATTTTCCGATTTAAGAGAATACTGTTAACTGTTTAAATTCAAAGCTATGCAAATGCATTTCCAAGTATTGGCGTGTCTTATTTAAGGTATATCTGTCTTGCGCGAAAGCAAGGAGAGACAATTTGCTGACAGACAGCAGGTAGGCCTCCTGTACAATAACCTTACAGTACACTCAGTGAAGGAAAGGTAGCTCGTAATGGGCTTTTATTCCTTGCAATGATTTAAAAAGGCTGCAAACAACTCACCTTGTCTTTATTAGGTAAAGTCTGAGTTCTGGTGAAAGTGTCTCCTCCGTTTATACTGATCAGCTCCGCATCTACAGGCGGAAACGGTGCGGGGAAAACCACTACGTCACTCTTCAGTGTGTCGGAGCTGAAACACACGTCATACTGCTGAGTAGCTTTAGAGTAAGACCAGCTCCCGTCAGGGTGGGTGGTGATCATTGGGGCGCCGTACCTGCTGAAACTGCCGTCTGTCCTGTGGCATTTCACAGCTATTAAACTGATGAGGCTCAGCAGAAAGATCACTGACACCGACACAATGGCGATCAGCAGATACAGGTTCAAATCAGAGAAGCTCTCCTCCTTTATGGGCACATGTCTGAACTGAGTCTGGATGTCAGCTGTGCTTTCAACCACCACCACATCAATAGACACAGTAGCTGACAGGGAGGGCTCTCCGTTATCAGAAACCAACACCACCAAGGGGTGAGTTTTCAGGTCATTGTCACTCATTCTCCTCTTAGTCCTGATCTCCCCGGTGCTGGTTCCGATCCGGAAGAGGTTGTTTCCTTTGGGCTCAGACAGGTGATAAGAAAGCAGCGCGTTGTATCCAGAGTCTGCGTCTACAGCCCTGATCTTTGCCACAAAGTATCCCGCTTCAGCAGAATAGGGGATGCTCTCACTGTTAACGGAGCCGTGCTCAGAATAGGGCGCGAGGATCGCGGGACTGTTGTCATTCTCATCCAGGATACAAACGTTCACAGTCACGTTGCTGCTGAGCGGAGGAACACCAGAGTCTGTGGCCTGAACTTTAAACTGGAACGTCTTTAACTCCTCGTAGTTAAAAGACTGCAGGCTGACTATATCTCCAGTCTCTGAGTTGATGTTTAAAACTGAAGTTATTGGAATATTTTTGGATAACTATCTAACAATGTGTACGTCAGTTTTGCATTAGTTTCCATATCAGGATCAAATGCATTTATTGTATAAATAACAGAGCCGATTGGACTGTTTTCTTTCACATAAACATTAATCACAGGCTCCATAAATCGAGGTGCGTTATCATTAACATCAGAAACGTGAACAGTAATGACCCTGAAACTGGACAGAGGCGGATTTCCTTCATCTGTGGCTGTAACGGTGACATTGTAAAGCGACGTGTTTTCTCTGTCCAGTGGTCCATCTACTACTAATGAATAGTCATTTTTATAGTTGGACTTCAGTTTAAACGGAACAGACCCAATTACCTTACAGTTAGTTACACCGTTGTTTCCTCCATCTTTATCACTCACTGTAACCAAAGCAACTATTGTCCCCAGTTCTGCATCTTCTTTTACCGGGGTCATGAGTGACGTCACCGATATTACTGGGGCATTGTCATTCACATCAATTATCTCTATCAGCAGTTTGGCATGTGCACTACGAGGAGAGGTGCCTTGATCCATAGCTTGAACTCTGACTTCATAAGCAGGCGTCTCTTCGTAATCTAATGTACCCTTCACAGTGATTTCTCCTGTTTCTGCATTTAGATCGAAAATATTTGATGGATCAATATTCCCTCGTTTGATGAAGGAATACATGATCTTACTGTTAATGCCCTCATCTAAATCCGTTGCATTTAACTTTATTACCACTGTTCCAGGTGGAGTATTTTCACGCACACGCACTTTATAGAGTGATTTGCTGAAATTGGGTATATTGTCGTTCGCATCTAAAACATTAACATTGATTTGTAATGACCCCGATTTAGCAGGTTTTCCTCCATCTACAGCGGTCAGGAGGAGTGTAATTACAGACTGTTTCTCTCGATCTAAAGCTTTCTGCAGCACTAACTCAGCAGACACACCGTGATCTCCGCCGCTCTGTACATCAAGAGAGAAATGTTCATTTTGGCTCAGCTTGTAGGTCTTCACTGAGTTGCTGCCTATGTCCGCATCCACTGCTATTGGGAGAAGATATCTCTCCCCCGTTAAAGATGATTCTGAAATATTCAAAGAATACGTTTTTTCAATGAAAGCAGGCGAATTATCGTTTATATCTAAAATATTAACCTCTATGCGGTGTGCAGCCATTGGATTGTTTAGAACAGCCTGTATTTTTAACAAGCATTTTACCACATTCGGACACAGCTCCTCTCTGTCTATTCTCTCGTCAACAAAGATGTTCCCGGTCCGCAAATTCACGTCAAAATATCTCTTACTGTGACTCGAAACAATACGTAGATCCCTGGTCTCTAGTTCCTGTACATTGAGGTTTAAATCCTTTGCAATATTCCCCACTACCGTGCCTTTGTTCACCTCCTCGGAGATCGAGTAGGATATCTGCGAAGCAGACCGGTCACAAATACAAAGAAACACAACAATGTGAATCCAGACGTAATCCTGCTGTCGTCGAATATACATTGTTGATGCAACAAAACAACTGAATCCAATCGATCATTTATCCTCAGCACAAAAATTTCCGTCCGAAGAAATATTGTTGTGAGAAAGCTCCTACTCTTCTCGTCACAGCACCTTCCGAGGTGGCACTGATGACCAATCACGATGATTTATTTATTTTTCCTCATGCAGGGAGGAGGAGTTTTAGCTATACAAACACAGTCATGGTCTCCTGCGACATCATGTGGTGAATGATAGGTCCGCAAATACAATCCAGCGTATTAGACAGAAAAAAAACTTTAAAATACCGGGTAAAATATGAATGGTGAGGTTTAGTAGGTAAATACTTGTTTTAATATTTAGAGTGTGACAACCCTGGCTTACTGGAACAGTATTTCAATGGCTGTATGAACTATTGTTTAAAGTACAAATAATACAGAGGAAAACTACATTGAATAAAATTCCACAGTGCAATTGTTATATTTTAAAAATACCATACTTTGATTGATTCATCAATTAAAGAAACTAGTTTGATTCACCGCAGGATTGTACAGATACCACATATTGTCAACACACAGTCAAGCACCACGGGCAGCGCCTTTTCACTAATTTCAGTTCTGGAGACATTGCAAATGTTAGATCAAGCAGAATGATACTATCTACATGCATCCGAGGTTGCAAGGTTGGCACCACGGAGACCCCTGTTTCATTTCAGGCAAAGAACACTTTATATCCTTTCAAACAATAGGTCAATGCTTTCAACAGGCCTGAGACCAACGTGTTTTGCAGCTGAATGGCACAAAATCGTAATTCAGCACCACGGAGAACTCAATCTAGATACTGGTAAAATAAAAAATAAAAAAGTCCAATCGTCCCACTGCAACTTTTCATTGACGAGCTACATTATGTAGCCTACGTTTTAATATATCAAAATGTATTGAGACTCAAAAGCAGTAAAGGAATTGCATTATATTTTTATAAACGCATTGTTCTGTTTTAGAAGAACTCGTCACAAATGTTCTTACCTCGTCTTTGTTAGGTAAAGTCTGAGTTCTGGTGAAAGTGTCTCCTCCGTTTATACTGATCAGCTCCGCATCTACAGGCGGAAACGGTGCGGGGAAAACCACTACGTCACTCTTCAGTGTGTCGGAGCTGAAACACACGTCATACTGCTGAGTAGCTTTAGAGTAAGACCAGCTCCCGTCAGGGTGGGTGGTGATCATTGGGGCGCTGTACCTGCTGAAACTGCCGTCTGTCCTGTGGCATTTCACAGCTATTAAACTGATGAGGCTCAGCAGAAAGATCACTGACACCGACACAATGGCGATCAGCAGATACAGGTTCAAATCAGAGAAGCTCTCCTCCTTTATGGGCACATGTCTGAACTGAGTCTGGATGTCAGCTGTGCTTTCAACCACCACCACATCAATAGACACAGTAGCTGACAGGGAGGGCTCTCCGTTATCAGAAACCAACACCACCAAGGGGTGAGTTTTCAGTCATTGTCACTCATTCTCCTCTTAGTCCTGATCTCCCCGGTGCTGGTTCCGATCCGGAAGAGGTTGTTTCCTTTGGGCTCAGACAGGTGATAAGAAAGCAGCGCGTTGTATCCAGAGTCTGCGTCTACAGCCCTGATCTTTGCCACAAAGTATCCCGCTTCAGCAGAATAGGGGATGCTCTCACTGTTAACGGAGCCGTGCTCAGAATAGGGCGCGAGGATCGCGGGACTGTTGTCATTCTCATCCAGGATACAAACGTTCACAGTCACGTTGCTGCTGAGCGGAGGAACACCAGAGTCTGTGGCCTGAACTTTAAACTGGAACGTCTTTAACTCCTCGTAGTTAAAAGACTGCAGGCTGACTATATCTCCAGTCTCTGAGTTGATGTTTAAAACTGAAGTTATTGGAATATTTTTTGGATAACTATCTAACAATGTGTACGTCAGTTTTGCATTAGTTTCCATATCAGGATCAAATGCATTTATTGTATAAATAACAGAGCCGATTGGACTGTTTTCTTTCACATAAACATTAATCACAGGCTCCATAAATCGAGGTGCGTTATCATTAACATCAGAAACGTGAACAGTAATGACCCTGAAACTGGACAGAGGCGGATTTCCTTCATCTGTGGCTGTAACGGTGACATTGTAAAGCGACGTGTTTTCTCTGTCCAGTGGTCCATCTACTACTAATGAATAGTCATTTTTATAGTTGGACTTCAGTTTAAACGGAACAGACCCAATTACCTTACAGTTAGTTACACCGTTGTTTCCTCCATCTTTATCACTCACTGTAACCAAAGCAACTATTGTCCCCAGTTCTGCATCTTCTTTTACCGGGGTCATGAGTGACGTCACCGATATTACTGGGGCATTGTCATTCACATCAATTATCTCTATCAGCAGTTTGGCATGTGCACTACGAGGAGAGGTGCCTTGATCCATAGCTTGAACTCTGACTTCATAAGCAGGCGTCTCTTCGTAATCTAATGTACCCTTCACAGTGATTTCTCCTGTTTCTGCATTTAGATCGAAAATATTTGATGGGTCAATATTTCCTCCTTTGATAAACAAATACAGGATCTTACTGTTCATTCCCTCGTCTAAATCTGTTGCATTTAATGTTATTACCACTGTTCCAGGTGCAGTATTTTCACGCACACGCACTTTATAAAGCGATTTGCTAAAAAATGGTGTATTGTCGTTTGCATCTATTACATTTACATTTATCTGCAATGACCCTGATCTAGCAGGTTTTCCTCCATCTACAGCGGTCAGGAGGAGTGTAATAACGGGCTGTTTCTCTCGATCTAAAGCTTTCTGCAGCACTAACTCAGCAGACACACCGTGATCTCCGCTGCTCTGTAAATCAAGAGAGAAATGTTCATTTTGGCTCAGCTTGTAAGTCTTCACTGAGTTGCTGCCTATGTCCGCATCCACTGCTATTGGGAGAAAAAATCGCTCCCCCGGTGACAATGATTCTGATATATTGAATAAATGCGACCGTTCAACGAAAACAGGCGAGTTATCATTTATATCTAAAACATTTACTTCAATTCGATGTGCAGTCATTGGATTGTTTAGAACGGCCTGTAATTTCAAGGAGCATTTTACCGTATTGGGACAAAAGTCTTCTCTGTCTATTCTTTCGTCAACAAACATGTTTCCGGTCCGCAAATTCACGTCAAAATATTTCTTCTTGTAACCTGAAACAATTTGTAGATCCCTGTTTCCCAGGTCCTGTACATTGATGTTCAAATCCTTTGCAATATTCCCCACCACGGTGCCTTTGTTCACCTCCTCGGAGATGGAGTAAGATATCTGAGAGGCAGAGGAGTCACAAAGACAAAGCAGCAAAATGATTTGAATCCAGGCGTTTTCCTTTTGTCGTCGCACATACATCCTTGTTATCATAAAAGAGCTGAACCCAGTCAAGCGTGAATCCCCAGGAATAGGTGATTCTTTAGATAGCAGCTCGTTATGTTTAAGCTCCAGCCTTTCTCGTCACAAGTCACAACACCATCGAATGCCTACGAGATTTTAATGGCTGATGACGATTTCATTTCCCCTCAGCCATGGAGGAGGAGTTTTAGATAGACAGGAACACTGTAATCTATGGTCTCCAGCGACATCCTGTGGTAAATGATTGATAAGGCCCACTTTTACTTGGTCAAATAAGTTGCAATACTGTATATTTCTACAGAAATAATTTTCTCATGGGCTACAAATTCAGTTCAACCTCGAACGGTGATTGGCTTATCAAGTACTTACAAGCTCATCAAGTATACACATATTCTTACCAATGTTTGGTATTTAAACATTTAGTTAAATAATCAGAGTGCAACAATCATCCATCGAAGGATATTTCATAACCAGACGAACACTTAAAAGTTAAAATATTGAAATGCATCCAGAAAAAAATGAAGAGTAAGATACTCATGGAGGTTTAAAACAAAATGAAGTAGTTTAACTAAACACTAATAATAATGACATAAATGTCTACTTGTTGCATGGTATATTGCGTAGAAATCATGTGTTACAGCTACAAGTCTGACTTCAGATCCACAGAGAGAGCCATTTCATAAACCTGTATATCGAAGTTTTTACAGTTCAGTGTTAAAATGGTGTTTGAGAGCAGGGTGGTAGTGAAACCAAAGAGCGGTAAGTTCATCACAATGGCAAGTGCTGTCTCACTAATGAGCAGCTGAGGTCACGTCGCCCTATGCTGTTGAGTTTTTTCCAGAGGACATAAAGGAGCGGGTTTACGGCACAGTGGCGTTGAAGCCCAAGGTTGTGAAAACTTAGTTCAGAACCATGGTCAGCGATATTTAAAATGATAAAATGGTTATCATGTCAACGTACCTACATGAAAGATTTTCAGAGAATTTCAAACGATTTTCTTTCTACGTCGCCGCATTACCTACTGTGACATAAACGAACAGATGGCTTTTTGAATATATATGTCTCTAAGAGGTTATGCAAAATAGTAGCATTAAATACATTTTGTGTGTTGTTTTACACATATAGGTGTAGCTTAAAGACAAGAGCACGCAAAAGGTAACAAATCCTCACAGGACTATGAGTTGCTACTGCTAGTTGTAATGACGGAGATTGACCCCTTGACCATTGGTGATTTCCACAAAATACAACTGCTTCTAAGTGTGGTCGTGCGTTCTTAAAAACTTAGATTTGTTGTTTATTAACAAGTGGCAAAGAAGAAGTCACTGTTGTCACCTTGCTGACACATTCATTGACTTCATATTCAACCAAACTAGGATAAAATTTCATAGGCAGGTGGTACTCATAAGAAGTCGAATGATAAAAGCATTAATTACAAAATATATCCTACCTTGTCTTTGTTAGGTAAAGTCTGAGTTCTGGTGAAAGTGTCTCCTCCGTTTATACTGATCAGCTCCGCATCTACAGGCGGAAACGGTGCGGGGAAAACCACTACGTCACTCTTCAGTGTGTCGGAGCTGAAACACACGTCATACTGCTGAGTAGCTTTAGAGTAAGACCAGCTCCCGTCAGGGTGGGTGGTGATCATTGGGGCGCTGTACCTGCTGAAACTGCCGTCTGTCCTGTGGCATTTCACAGCTATTAAACTGATGAGGCTCAGCAGAAAGATCACTGACACCGACACAATGGCGATCAGCAGATACAG